GATACCCGCTTTATTCTCCAGTTTGTACTACATAAATAAAAGAATACCACAATAAAGTGGATGTTTATTGATATAAAAACCCATATCATAATAAACTTAGAGTTTATTGATAATTGCACACGTCATGGTGTAAACCTGAACTTTATCAATATTGATAATTATCCAGTTGGCATAATCAGATTGGCCATATCAATTTAAGCATGATGTGAAAAAATAAAAGAGAATTCACATGGGCAATATTAAAGAACTAGAAAGTTCTTTACGAATTCTCTTATGCTACTTGTTCTCATTAACTAATAGTCCAACTAAAATTGGGATTGAATCCCATGAATGCTGAAATATCAAAGGTGAATATGGGCCCACTCACCTGCCATGTATACCACATAAGATGCATCTATGAGATGGTTAAATGTGCTATTATTATTAACCCGCAACCTGGTGTTTGCGAGGTAACTTGCCCAATAATTTAATTTAGAGCATAATTTCCAGATTTTCTATTCAAGACAGTTTATCTTGTTAAGTTGGTTTATATCACAGCTGGTTTAGCAAAATAATTTATTGAGTGTATCCACTTAATAGTTAAACTATTGCTTATGAGAACAAAGTTATCTATATCAGTTTGATATAGGTTATATACGAAAGTGTATTATATTCTCCCCTCACAAGTGGTTCAGGGTCAGGAACCAAATAATTCCATCTTATTATTATTGATGTGCGGGGTATATTTTGATTAATATCATAACGTACAAAGATGGATTCTCAAAGTTGAGGAAACAAGTTAGTTTTTCTAACATGAGGGCGAGACATGATAAACAATTGAGAAAAGTTACGTGGAATGAATTATCATTTGTACATTTAGATCCTCGAATAAGATAATATAAATTTGAAGTTCATAAAAAGATAATTCATTTGCAGCATATTGCAGGGTGTCACAAGTCACGAGCAACTAAAGAAGTATGAACACAACTACAGGGCCAATAATATACCAAAATACGATCTGGAATCAAAGGACGAAATCCGGTGCCGCGAACGCTGGCGGTCACCTTGCTCAGCTACAATAGAAATATCTTCAATCCGCTAATAACCCGCAACCGGGTGAACGATACCTGCAACTGCACGCGAGGTGCAGGGAGTAAAGTGAGTACTTCCAACTCAATGATTGATAGAAGTAAATAATAACTGAGCAGCAAGAAATCACGTAAAGCAACCAACGGGCTGTACAGAAGCCGGGTACAATTTCCGAGAAAAAAAAACAGTGAAATCAGAGAACTCTTTAGAAATGTTTCGGCTCAGTTCAAATCTCTTTTTTTTTGAAAATGGTCCTTTCAATAATTACGAAAATTGTTCAAAATAGTTAGTGCTGATTAACACAGAAAATCCGCCCCTCGGGCACAAATACTACAGCATAGCAGGTAAAAATGCAAATAATTATGCAAGATGAGCACATAAAAGTTCGCCCCTCGGGCATGATTTTCGTTACTAGTCAGTCATTGTTACCTGACCGGTCAGCCATTGTTACCTGACCCAACGCGTGTTTCAGTGCCATTGTTACCACTGGTCAGCCATTTTTACCTGACCAAAACACGTATGACAGTGTCATTGTTACCACTGCCCAATTCTAAATGGGTACCCGCGCTCACTGTGGGTGTGCAGACTCCGGAGGGGCTCCTACAGCCCAAGCGCTATATCATCATAAGGCCTGAAAGCCTGTACATATTAACATGAGGCCTGAAAGCCTCCTCACAATACACTCGAGGCCTGAAAGCCTCCTCACATCACTCAGCATATCCTCACATATGGCCCTCGGCCTCAATCAGTCCAAAAATAATCATAAGCCCCTCGGGCATTAGTAAAGAACAATAATGCTCAGCTCAAATAGTAGTTCAAATATCAGTTAAAACTCAAGGTTGAGTAAAAGTATAGCTGAGTTCATGAAACAGTGTAATGACATTGGACTGAGTTCAAATAATATTTCAAATAGTGAGGAAAAAACAGTGATGATAGCTCATAGGGAGTTCAAACAATCGGCAATAAGCCTCAAATATGGCAATAAGCCCAAGTCATAGTGAAAAACCAACAAGTCATAGCGAAATACGCGGTAAAATCAACAACCGGGACGGGCCAAGTCACAATCCCCAACGGTGCTCTACCCCACGCTCTCTATCCGGCGTGCAAGTCACCTCAATATAGCACTATGGGTGCAAATTCGGGGTTTCAAACCCTCAGGATATCATTCACAATCATTACTCACCTCGAACCGGCGAAATCTCTAGCCCGCGACGCCTTTGCCCCTCGAACCGGCCTCCACGCGCGCCGAATCTAACCAAAATCAGAGCGAATACATCAAAACATGCCAAGGGAACGATGCCCAATCGAACAAAATCGAAATATATCAAAAATCTCGAAACTAGCAAAACCCGAGCCCCGGGCCCGCTTCTCGAAAAATTATGAAACTTACATTACCGAATTCCTCGTCTCGCCACGAGTCCGTACATACCAAGAACTCCCAAATCCGAGCTCAAATGACCTATCAAATCCCAATTTGAAAGTATAAAAACTCAAGCCCTAGCTTTTCCAATTTTTACTCCAATTTCCATGAATTAAAGGTTGATTCTTCAAATAAATAGCGTTTCTAGGTCACGAGACTTACCTCCAATCGATTCCCGTCAAAATCCTCTTCAAGTCCTACCAAAAAGCTCTTGAGGTGGTTCAAAAATGGAGGAAATATCAAATGGGTCGCGGATGAAATGTCCTTAATTAACCCTCATGTGATGCCCAGTTCCTTCTACGCGAACACGAGGGTCCTCTCGCGTTCGCGATGAACAAATTTTCCACAGACCAATTTTTACTCTACGCGAACGCGTAGCACCAGACACGAACTCGATGCACTCCCAGGCCCTTACGCGAACGCGACATCACCATCGCGAACGCGATGAATAAACCAAGCTGGGCCCCCAGACTCCTCCTACGCGAACGCGGGGTCCCACCCGCGAACGCGATGACCAACAGAAACAGGCCTACGCGAACGCGACCTATGCCATGCGAACGCGAAGGCAAAATTATGCCTGCAACAGCTGCTGAAAATCTGCAACACTCCAAGTCAAATTTTCTTCCGTTTGATCACCCGAAATCACCCCGAGGCCCTCGGGACCTCAACCAAAAACACCAACCAACCCAAAACATCATACGAACTTGTTCCAATCATCAAAACACGCCTAACAATACTGAAATCGTCAATTCACATCGGATTCAAGCCTAAGTTCTTCAAGAACTTCCGAAACACGCATTCGATCAAAAACCCAACCAAACGATGTCCGAATGACCTGAAATTTTGCACACACATCACAAATCACATAACGAAGCTACAACAACTCTCAGAATTCCATTCCAACCCTCGGATCAAAATCTCACCTGCCAACCGGAATTCACCAAAATACTAACTTCGCCAATTCAAGCCTAATTCTACACCGGACCTCCAAAATCAATTCCGATCGCACTCCTATGCCACAAATCATCCCCCGAAGCTAACCGAATCACCGGAAATCACATCCGAGCCCTATAACTCATAAGTCAACGTCCGGTTGACTTTTCCAACTTAAGCCTTCCTTAAAGAGACTAAGTGTCTCATTTCTTATCCAAACCAATCCAAATCAACTCTAACACACCACATACCGATAACGAAACATGAAGAAGCATGAAATGGGGGAAACGGAGCAGTAACACATGAGACGACGGGTCGGGTCGTCACAAAAGGCTAGATGAAACTAATTAAAACTAATTAGCAATGCATAGGAAGATATCATTGGAGTATTTTATTTGTCCATATTAAATATATTATGATACCGTGAGCATAGATGGAAAATAATAATGTGCAAATAAAAGAAAACTTATGTCCTTTTAAAAGAAAAAGAACAAACATTTTTAATAATTAAACTTTCCTGAAATGAGTAACTTATGCAGGCAAAGCGGGTATGCATGCGTTTAAATTGCAACTTTTGTTGTATTTTTTGGATGATTGTTATTCAACATTTTATGGTGTTTATCGTATTCTATTATATTTATTATACTGTATCGTTTTGATGATTACAATTTGGATAGATTATATCGTTTCTCATTATTTTATAATATCATACACCAGCAGTTTGAAGGATACATTATAATATTATTAAAGAAAAGTATGATACGAGATAGACGTATTATTAAAATAGGATAGAGGGCGAAACATAAATATTAAAAAATTATTAACGATGAAATGAGAAGAAAAAATAAGGTAAGGATGCGAGCACACCAAATTGATTTCATTGTTAAGTAATGATATATTTAGCAATACAAAACAATAATAAGTAACAATGAAAATAAATAATATATTTAAAGTAACAATACGATGAAATATAATAGGTAACAACTAACAACCATCCAAACAGGTTATACACACTACCTTCCCAGACCCCACTAGAGAGATTTTAATGGGTTGTTGTTGTTGTTGTTGTTATGTAAAACGTATACTACATACGGAAAAGGGCCTAAACTGACCCTATTGTTTGTTAAATAGTTTATAGATATCCTCCGTGTATATATCAGTATACGATTTTCATTCTATTAATAAAATTACTCTCGCATCTAACGACAGATCTTGTGATCGAGCCTTGTAATTTTATAGAAAGGTGATAAATTTTGAAACAGGGTGAAATTTTTGAATATAGCTTTATGGTGCTAAACTATTTCTGATCATATCAAATCTCCTGCGATGTTGATTTCTTGTGTTTCAAACTTAATATTTTGGAAGTTACATTTGATGGGAATCAAAAGTATTGAATTTCCAATATATGGAGTTATTCATACTACTGTACAAGATGCAGGAAGATATTGTAATTGGGCCCGGGCTATAATTAGTTTTCTATATAATAGAAGAGCTTGTGGTTTGGACCTGTTAGTTTTTAGTCACTAAATTTTTAGCTGGGGCTATTTTAGTTATTCTGTCTAAGCTTTTGTAGGTATACCTGCGTGTCTAAAAATCCGTTTGCTATTAACATACGTGGCTTTAGCTCCTGCCGTTGTGTTACAGAGTTCTTCGCTTTCATTTTCCTTCAATCTCTCCCACAATATTGATTTTCATCTCAATTCTCTTGCTTCATCTCGCCCAATTCTCTATTTCTATCGTCTTTTTCTTCCATTATAGTGTGAGCTCTTGATTTCACTAAGTACTCTCTTCTATTGCAGATTTGTGGCCAATGTTTTGGTGCAACTCCAAGCCCTTTTCATCACTCCATCTGCCTCGCTTTCTACCACAAGATTGGAAGGTGGAACCCAAAGAGGGAAGATTACTTTCTTCTTGTGTTTGTCTGGAATCTTGAATTCATAATCTTTTCTAAAACAAAAATACCCTCAATTTCATCAATCAAAACCCTAACTCAAATTTTTTCCAAATCTTCTTGAATATATGCAAAACCAGCCTTTCAGCCAGTTTAGTTCATGAATTTAAGGTAAATCTTCATTCTTTAATGTTTTTATCCCATTCGGGATGCTTGTACACAGCGTTTTGGTTAATTAATTTTTTTCAAATTGCATAGACATTTTTTTGCTTTTGAGTTTTTACTTTGTTTTCCTGTATCTCTGCTTGAACAAAATAACCTTTTATTCATCCGAACAGCTACACTTGCTTGGAGATTTGTGTTGTTCCAGTGCTTCTAATCGACCAATCATACTCATCATCTATTTCTGTCTTTCTCACAATGCTTTCAGGTACTCTTCGCTCTTTCCTTCCCCTTCATATATAATTGTCACTATCTATATTTTGTTTGTTTGTGATCGTGCTTCTGCTGAATTCTAAGTTGGCCTTTAAGGTTCATAAGAACGAAAACTATATTTTGTTTGTTTGTGGTTATGCTTTCTAAATTTTAGGTTCGCATTTCAGGTTCGTAAGAACGAAAATTATGGTTTTTTTGAGATATTGGTGCAAATCCTTTTAGGTTTTTGGCTTGAATTGTTGTTTTCTGTTATGAGTGTGTGCTCTAGCTTCAGAGACTCATTAACTGTTACGTCAAATGAATCTTATAAGAACTTCTTTACATGATTAGAAAATAAAATATCTTTCTCGACTAACGTTTTTTGGTATTCCTATGTTTCACGGCATAAAAATAAAGTTCATTTCTCCATTTTTTATCTGATTAAATTTAAAATGTTCTGTGTCCTAATGGGAGAAACATATGATAGTTAATCATAATGTTTTCAACAGACTGAGGCAGAGTAACCAAGTGCTTAATTTTGTTGGAGATATTTCTAAAGCTCTTAGTTGAGAAGTATCTTAAAATTTTTAGTGTCTTAATGATTTTTTTTTACAACCTTTTGGTATTAGATTGGCAATTGAGAGTTAAAAACAATGTGCCCAAGGACCAACTTGATTTTGATTAAACAAGGAGAATATTTCCCGTGGCAACTCTCTGGTGTGTAAGGTATTTTTACATACCAATATGGCTGAAAATCTGGACGCTTGATGTGGAGGTTTTTAATTATTAAATAATACTCCATATTTCATATAGGTTCTGTTGGTTTGTTCTCTTCCCACCGAATGGTTTTAATGATTTATCTTTGCGCCAATGATCAAAACTGTGAGCATATTCGTTAGATGTTGTTCTGACATCTTATTGTACAACAGAGAACATTTAAAGGCTATGGAGCATGTGCATTTTATCCTGTTGCATGATTTAGATTACTTTTATTCATATGGTGTCTTGGCAAAGCATTTGAGAAGTTGTCCAGTACTGAAAGTTTTGTAGCTGAAACAAGATAACTCAGCTTGGTAAAATCTCATGATCCATATTCAGCTCCAGTGTATTCTTTCTCCTATATGCTCAGTAAATTTGTTTTCCTCTTTTAACTTCACAATACAACTCAACTTACTAAAATTTCATGCATCTTAACTTTGATTTGAATAGTTGGACAAGTGATCCTTCAAGAACTTACTTGATGGAAATATCAATATCTACCTTTAATTTGCTTGTGCAGGCTGTTGCTTCCATAGAAACATACCAGGTAATACCTAGAGTCTAATGGCCTGCTTTGCCAAACTTTTCAAAATTAGCTTATTTGAGAAAAGTACTTTTCAAAAGAGTATTTTTTGTGAGAAGCAGTTTGTGTTTGACAAATCAACTTGAGAAGCATTTTTAACTTTTCAAAAATAACTTCTACTTCTACTCAAAAGTAATTTTTTCCTTCTAAAAGTTTGACCAAATATCTTAATTTTGTGAAAAATATTATTACCCAAAAAAGCACTTTTCACCAAAAAAATCTTCACCTAGTAGGCTATAAGTTCATTTCGAGCATAAAAGAATGAGCTTGTTTCTTATTCTTCCCCTAAATGTTTTTCCAGTACACTTGTCCATAAAAAGATGAAAATCTGGCAACCATCTTAAATGAAATTTCGCATCCTATAATTGGCGCAACTGCTGCGATAATGATAGAGTGCTAGAGAAGAAGTATGCAGATTAATAAAGGTGAAAGTAAGTTCATATCAAATAGTCAATATGCAATTGTACACTTGCTCCATAAAGACCTTTTGTTTTTTCCTGGAAAATGAAAATGAAGAGATAAACCATGATGAGCGAATTCCTTGCGTTCATTACTACTCTCGAATTCCTTTATGGATGGAGACAGTTATTGGGGTTTGCCTACAGCTACCCCTTTTTCCATGTGTCTGGTATAATTTTGTTATATATTAGTGAAATAAATCTTATTAGAGTGGAAGGAAGTTTCTGATTCTAATGTATTTATTGCATGTTGTGCAGCTGTGTGTGGTGTATTCGTGTGTATTCACACTCTTTTTACTGGCAGGAGTTCTTTGGAGCATGCTAAATTTGAGCTTATGGTATAATGAAAGCACAAACAAAGATGCATGACAATGTTTAGAAAGTATGTCAATTACACCGACTAATTTAGTTCTCTTGCTTCTCTTCCTTTTCTCAACTATTTTCTCTGTGAAAGAATGAGATAGGCTAGACTAACGAATAATCCCTACTGGTACCAATATTTTGGCAAAGCATACAGGTACCAATATTTTGACAAAGCAAGCAAGAAAGGAGCCTAACCAAAGCGCAATAGCTGCACTACATTTCGTAAATATGCTAATATCATATATGTGAACTTATGTTTCCCATAGATGAAAGCAATATGCCGTTGGGCAACCACACAACATTCAAGAATGGATATTTTGTCATTCATATTCATAAATAATTTCCAACAGTTGGTATACAGGGGCAGAGGCACGTTGATCCGAGCGGTGTCATCCGACACCGCTTCGTCGATGATTTTTTTAATTAATATGTATATAAAATAATACTACGTAAGACAACATCCCAATAAATAGAGCTGAAATAAGACCGCCTGACTAAAGAGCTTCGGTGGCTCGCAGGTAAAGCATCTAGATTTCCGGGTGGAAGTCAAGAGTTCGAACCCTTGTTATGTTGGTTTCATTTTTTTAAAATTTTCAGCATTATTCTGGAATAGAAGCCAGCAAGGCTTGATCCTATAACTTTTTTCCTAAAAAGCAATAACTAAACCATCCGCGACAGCATCCCATTGGTATATCTCACTGCCAAAAATACTTTTAATGGTTCATAGAATATAGAAAGAAATATTTCTAATGAGTCTATTGTAGATACAATTACTTAGAACTCATCCAAGAGAAATTTGTATTAGGGTACTTGAATTATTGTTTTAAAAAAAAAATATATGAAATAGGATTTTATTATAGTGTTTTATTTACTGGCTCACTTCTTTAAATGTCGAGACCGCTTACGAAAACTCCTGCGTACGCCCCTGCATGCTATACATATATACTAAAACTAATATATCAATAAATATGAGCCAAATCGTTTTTAATTCGCATTAAAATAAATTGAAAACTTTTTTGAAATGAGTTGAAAATGAGTAACTGTATATTTTCAACATTCTCCGTTGTTCTTGTATTTCTCATTTTTGCCTCTCATGAAATATGGATAAATTGGATTGCAACCAATTTTATTTGACCCATTTTCAATCCATTGAAACCCGACTCAACGCGCACATTTGCCACGACAAATTTTCATTTTCATTTATTTTTTTTCGTTTAACATTGTGAGTTGCTCACTCTCACTCTTTCTGCTTGGGAGCCACGTATGAGAAACATGGCACATTCTTAGGTCCCCAAGTCTGCACCAGCAGCAAGAAAGCAACGGGCAGCGGCAAAGCAGTAAAATGAAGCATCGTTGCCACAGCTTCAAGTCAATCTCTCCGCCTGGATTTACCGTTTCAGAGGCATATTCTCAAACACCTTATGCAGTTGAAGTGCCGGACACCACTGGGGAAGGTTATTATATGAACACTCACATTGTTTTCTTCATTTCGTTGTTTTACCCAATCAACAGCCAATGAGGATTATCATTTCATGCCTTAAGCGGCAACGTCTTATAGTGTTGTCCCCAAGTAATTGCCATTTTTATTCCTCATCTCGTGCTAAAGTATATACAATTTGTGGTCCTTTAGGTGTAAAATCCGTTCTAAAAGTTCTTCACGGAATTAGCTGGGTAATTTATTTACAGGAACAGTGAACATTCAGAATATTGTTTGCATATTATATAATGCTAATCATCCATCTTAATTCTGTGTGTAACATTCTCAACTATCATCTCATTCTGCTGTATTTCTGCCGGAAATACATCTGGAAAGTCTCTCACTACCAGAACCGACTCAACGGTAGGAGTATCAGCACTGACGTCCCGCACAAAAGCTAGATAAAGAATTATGTCCCTTCTCAACCATCCGCCGAGCCTTTAGAAATGAGATAACCCTGATAGGAACATAATCTAATGTACCCCTCCCTTCTAACTATGCTAAACTTGGCATAGCCAGTGTCACAGTCTTGGCGTGACAATGAAGAATAGCATGATAAAGCGACAACCAGTTCATGCCCAAGATAACATCAAAGTCTACCATACTAAGTAACAACAAATCAACTCTAGTCTCAAAACTACCAATAACAACTAGACACGACTGATACACACGGTCCACAACAATAGAATCTCCCACAAATGTAGATACATAAACAAGAGAACTCAAGGAATCACGCGATATTAACCAAATGCGGAGCAAAGTAAGATGTCACATATGAATAAGTAGATCCTAGATCAAATAAGAATGACGTATCTCTATGGCAAACCGCAATCACACCTGTAATGACTAAGTCTGACGCAACTGCCTCTGTCCTACTCGGAAGAGCATAGAATCTGGCCTGGCTTCCCCCTCTAGGGCGACCTCTACCCGCCCTGTCCCCACCCCTAGCAAGCTGTGCGGGTGGAGCGGCAACTAGGGCAGCAATCATGGCCTGTGAAGTCTGCAGACCTGACTGAATCCGTGGAGCCTAAGTAGTCTGGGAAGGTGCACCCCTACTGAGTCTGGGGCAGTCTTGACCATGTGGCGGATATCACCACACTCAAAACAAGCTCTCGATCGGTGTGGTGGCTGAGACTGGCTTGGGCGTGGTCGGATGGACTGACCGCTGAAGGCACCCCGCGCAGGAGGTGCACTAGAAAGTGGCTGAGCAAAGTGTGCAACATGGTACCTCGATACCACTAGAAGCTGAAAGTGCTGAATGAATTGGACGTCTCACATAGCCCCTACCATGATGAGTTGTAGCTGCGGTGTGACCACCACTAAATCCTCCCTTACCACAAGACCTCTTGGCCTCCTTATCATCTCTATCACGGTCTCACATACCTTCCAACCTCCGTGCAACCTCAACCACCTGCTGATATGGAGTGTCTAACTCCAACTCCCTAGCCATGCTAAATCTAATACTCTGGTTGAGCCCCTCGATGAATCGATGGACTCGCTCTTTGACTGTGGCGACCAAGGCTGGTGCATGCCTGGGCAAATCACTGAATCGAACAGCATACTTCGACGCTGATATAGTACCCTGGCGCAACCGCTCAAATTTCGTGCACCAAGCATTCCGAATGGTCTGAGGAACAAACTCTCTCAAGAAAAACTATGAAAATCGATCCCATGTAAGCAAAGTTGCCTCGGCGCGGCTACCCACCTCGTACGCCCGCCACCACTAGTATGCCGCTCCCTTTAGTTGCAACGTAGTAAAAATAACCCCACTCGTCTCCACAATGCCCATAGTCCGGAGAATATGGTTACACTCCTCAAGAAAACCATGTGCATCCTCTAAAGCCAAACCACTAAAAGTAGTAGGGTGGTACTTCTTGAACCTCTCGAGCCTAAGCTGCTCCTCCTCAGATGCTGCTACCCTAACCGTGTGCTAAACCGGAGCAACAGGCTGTACAGGTATAACCTTTGGGACCTGATCAACCTGGACCCGCTGCTCTGGGGTACGGGCCGCGGGAGTCTGTGCTCCTCCCCCAGCCTGAGATGTAGCTGGTGCAAGTGGGATCAACCCTTCCTGAGCTAAGGTACTGAACATGTTCAGGAACTGTGCGAGGGTCTCCTAAAGTGTTGGGGTGGCAATAGGCACCTCGGGTGTCTGTCCCTCTGACTGGAGCTACTGGTGGCTCCTCTGTGTCACGACCCCAGTTCTCCCTCCGTGAACATGTCGTGAAGGCACCTAGCCCCTGCGACTAGGTAAGCCTAACAATTTCGAAAAAAGAAAAAAACAAATGCGGAAAAACCAATATAAAACCGAAGATAACAATATAGAAGTGTTTAAGATGCCGCTTGGCATACACAATACAAGATCTCAAAATCGAACAACTCCCAAATTCCGGAATCCCATGAATCACAAGCTATGAATACGACAAAAATGCTCTAACTCCAAAATATCTAAATCAAAAGAAAAGATAGAAGGGCTATCACTACAAGAGAGAATGTGTTTACTGTGAAAATGGTAATTACAATTAGATTTAATTTTGTGGTTCTAAAAATACGTGACCTATTTTTATGCTAGTTGTTAGGCGATAGATGCTAGGTAAAAGATGAGAAAACAAGATTATAGCTTAGAGACGATATGATAACCGAACCAAACGGCTGGAGATCGGGGCCTCGATCTGTCGTATATGAGGCCTCGGGGTCGAGTTGGGTGACCGACTTAGAGCGATCGAGGGAGGACTAACAGTTGAGCTACGATGATGGCTCCTTACGATCAATGATAAGCAATAAATGATGAACAATAAATAGAACACAATGAATGTACGCAATAAATGGAAGTAATGAGATCAAGAGAATGTGTTAGAGAGCAAAGAGAATGTTCTTGTATTGAATATTGAATATCAGATGTCTACAAAACAACAAGGATCTCCTTTATATATGAGGGAGAAACCTAACATGGTACAAATGCATTTATTACAAAGTAGATATCTGGCACAACTTTCTAGTAATCTGGTGCAGACTGGTACTATTTCTGCAGGCGATGCCAGTTCGGACTATGTGCCTAGGGAACTTCCCGCTTACCCTCGATTGCCACCGACTCATGCTGCGTCGAGGTCGAGTGTGAAGAGCCTTCGAGGTCAAAGCCTCGAGCTGGGTCCCCGGATCTTCGGGGCCTTTTTCGAGGCTAAGGGAGAGACGCAATGATCGTGAAAGTGGGCCTCCCGATTTTGCCCGTATACAGATAGTCCCCGTGTTTCTTAGAATGAAACGATAAGAAACGACCTCGAATCTCCGCCCCTCTGGTACTTCCGTAACGACGGTAGTCACGTCTTGCCAAATGATCGATACGATAAAATAAGGCTCCAAAAGGTCGAGTACATACAACCCTTGAAAGCGTTCGTACTGATTACAGCGGTTGGCCGTCCTTTGTCCTCATTCAACGTGTGTGTTGGGCCCCTATAAATACCTCTTCTAGTTCTTTATTGTTCACCGCACTACCAGGACCTCAAAAAAGTTCCTTCTACCTTCACTTTTGTTCTTTCTTTGAAGACAATTTCCTTTTCTCCCCTGAAATCTCTTAAGAATGGAGAAAACTTCCCGCCTCTATTTCTCAGGGGAATATAACCTCGTCCTCTTCGATTTCATCTAAAGGGAGAGCAGCAGCGCCTCCTCGCAGTGGGCAATGCGTTCTAGGATATTTTACAACGGCTTTCGATTTCAAGGTCGAGAGAAATTCTTCGAAGCCAGGGCGTCGTGAGCCTGTGTCTCAATATATTAGCTCAATAATAGATGTCGAGAGGGTGAAGACTGATTGCGCTGGGGGGATGCGGTGCTTGTGGAGGTCCCTTCTCGGGAGGAGGATATAATGATATACAAAGCCGATTTTC